CTGGACATTTGGTTCATGAAGGGGGGGGGGGGGGTAATTCAAAGTCAAAGTCTAGGTCAACGTCTAAGGAAGCCTATGCCTAGTGCCCTACTGTCTACACCTATTGAATAAGAACCCGTGCCTTTGGATATAACTGGCAGGTATGAAAGCCTGAACCTGTGGAGAGGGTTTTTAAAAAAGGGGGGTCGGTCATTTTTGGTGCCGGATTTTCAGTGCGGGATTTTTAATGTGGGACAGTCAGGGACATTTGGTCCAGGGACATTTGATCACTGGACATTTGATCCCTGGACATTTGGTCACTGGGACAATTGATCACTGGACATTTTATCACTGGGACAATTGATCATTGGACAATTGATCATTGGGACAATTGGTCACTGGACATTTGGTTCATGAAGGGGGGGGGGGGGGGGGGTAATTCAAAGTCAAAGTCTAGGTCAACGTCTAAGGAAGCCTATGCCTAGTGCCCTACTGTCTACACCTATTGAATAAGAACCCGTGCCTTTGGATATAACTGGCAGGTATGAAAGCCTGAACCTGTGGAGAGGGTTTTTAAAAAAGGGGGGTCGGTCATTTTTGGTGCCGGATTTTCAGTGCGGGATTTTTAATGTGGGACAGTCAGGGACATTTGGTCCAGGGACATTTGATCACTGGACATTTGATCCCTGGACATTTGGTCACTGGGACAATTGATCACTGGACATTTTATCACTGGGACAATTGATCATTGGACAATTGATCATTGGGACAATTGGTCACTGGACATTTGGTTCATGAAGGGGGGGGGGGGGGGGGGGGGGTAATTCAAAGTCAAAGTCTAGGTCAACGTCTAAGGAAGCCTATGCCTAGTGCCCTACTGTCTACACCTATTGAATAAGAACCCGTGCCTTTGGATATAACTGGCAGGTATGAAAGCCTGAACCTGTGGAGAGGGTTTTTAAAAAAGGGGGGTCGGTCATTTTTGGTGCCGGATTTTCAGTGCGGGATTTTTAATGTGGGACAGTCAGGGACATTTGGTCCAGGGACATTTGATCACTGGACATTTGATCCCTGGACATTTGGTCACTGGGACAATTGATCACTGGACATTTTATCACTGGGACAATTGATCATTGGACAATTGATCATTGGGACAATTGGTCACTGGACATTTGGTTCATGAAGGGGGGGGGGGGGGGTAATTCAAAGTCAAAGTCTAGGTCAACGTCTAAGGAAGCCTATGCCTAGTGCCCTACTGTCTACACCTATTGAATAAGAACCCGTGCCTTTGGATATAACTGGCAGGTATGAAAGCCTGAACCTGTGGAGAGGGTTTTTAAAAAAGGGGGGTCGGTCATTTTTGGTGCCGGATTTTCAGTGCGGGATTTTTAATGTGGGACAGTCAGGGACATTTGGTCCAGGGACATTTGATCACTGGACATTTGATCCCTGGACATTTGGTCACTGGGACAATTGATCACTGGACATTTTATCACTGGGACAATTGATCATTGGACAATTGATCATTGGGACAATTGGTCACTGGACATTTGGTTCATGAAGGGGGGGGGGGGGGGGGGGGGTAATTCAAAGTCAAAGTCTAGGTCAACGTCTAAGGAAGCCTATGCCTAGTGCCCTACTGTCTACACCTATTGAATAAGAACCCGTGCCTTTGGATATAACTGGCAGGTATGAAAGCCTGAACCTGTGGAGAGGGTTTTTAAAAAAGGGGGGTCGGTCATTTTTGGTGCCGGATTTTCAGTGCGGGATTTTTAATGTGGGACAGTCAGGGACATTTGGTCCAGGGACATTTGATCACTGGACATTTGATCCCTGGACATTTGGTCACTGGGACAATTGATCACTGGACATTTTATCACTGGGACAATTGATCATTGGACAATTGATCATTGGGACAATTGGTCACTGGACATTTGGTTCATGAAGGGGGGGGGGGGGGGGGGTAATTCAAAGTCAAAGTCTAGGTCAACGTCTAAGGAAGCCTATGCCTAGTGCCCTACTGTCTACACCTATTGAATAAGAACCCGTGCCTTTGGATATAACTGGGAGGTATGAAAGCCTGGTCTGGAATTCATCTGGGAGTTTCGTTCTAAAAAAAGTTCGAATTTTTAGAAAAAAGAGGTTGTCTTGTTGGATTGTTTTGGAGTTTAGGAGTATCTGAAGCTCTCGGAGCTTGGAAGAGTTGGGTAAACCCGGGGTAGGGAGATGGGGGCCCACCCAAACCCATTTTTAACCAACAAAAAAATAATGTGATAAAAAATACCACTTGTAAAGAAAAGGCATTTTTGCTTTCTTCTAAACGAATCCGCAAAAATCCTTTTTTTACAAGTGGCTTAATTGTGCTTTTCCGTTTTTGCGTCTAATAATTCTGCTGTTTTGATAACTTTGTACTTGAAAAAACTAAACGAAAAAATCGACGCTAACGGAAAAGCACTAAAAAATAATAAACATATTTCATTCTAATATCTTTAAGACCTTTAAATGTGGCCGTAGCATCTTAGCCACATTTTTTGGCTTCTCTCGTCTTTGTAAATCATCATCAATTTGTTGCAGTCCAATGCTCATAGAACACTTCTCGCAATAACATTTGTCTTGCTGTAGCTGTTGAAGTTCCAGAGCCATCAGATAACATCCACTAGCCCCACTCGCTCGACGAATATAGTGGTGATTTAGTTGTCTGAAGGTTTGTTGTAGAAGAACATACTTCTCACGTGGAACCTGCTAAAATTTATTAATTAATAGAATCCACCAAAAATTAAAACATACACTGAAAACTAGATCCTTTGTTTGGGTACTTTTGAGTCGATCCATCTGCTTTCGAAATTGAGAGTAGCGCACATTGAAGGAACAAACTTAAATATAAGGAATTGAATTAGGTGCATAAAAAATTAAAAAAAAACCTCCAGTTTTATGAAGAAAAACAGAATGAGAAGAATCACCACCAAACCATTTAGTGATATCGTCAAAAAATTCTAAAAAAAATTTTTTAGGATCGATATGTATTAAGTAAAAAATACCTTAGCAACGAATGAAATTGTTCGATTCCATCGTCCGATAGATTTTTGAAATGCATTGAAAACAGGGGGGCTCAGTTTTCTTGAAACACTATCACTTAAGTTCTTTAAAAAAAGAGAAATATTCTATTAAAAAAAGAAACGAAAACTCACTTATCCATAATCGAAAAGAACCAATTCCACGTTGGATCTAAACATTTGTCAAATGCATCCTACAATTTAAAAAACATACATGAAATATTCAAACAATAAAAAAGGCAAACCTTAAAAACGCCAAAATCTTTGTATCCAAATCTTTATATATATATAATCAAGTATGTTGGTGACTCCTTTTGATTTTATTGCCTTGTTGTTTCCAATTTTCATAAAAAAATAATTGCAAGAAACAAGCAGATAATTGTGTACTTGTATTACTTGTAGAAAAGTACTATTATCCACCAAATTTGCTACAACAGTGTTATCAGCAGCGACAATTGATTGAGCAGCTAAAGGTAATGATGTAGCACCAGAACCTCCCAAAGTCACAGAATCATTAGCAGAAATTGGAGGTGTTGTTGAATTAGCCGAGATGGAACGAAGAACAGTTGAACGAGGATCATTGGGTCTGAAAGAACTGAATCATATTAATTTCTCTCATCAAAATATTACCTCTGGGTAGTAGATGTTCCACTGCCAAATACATTATTGTTGTTACTATGATCCCAAACATTTTCATCCATAATTACTTCACCTCATCCCATTCCACCTCGACAATGGATCATCAGCACCATTATTATTAGATGTAGGATTTGTTGTGGTTGAAGTGGTGGTACAATTTAAACCAGTAATTGGTGTATAAAATCCTCCAGAGGTTATTGCTGCAGCTTTGTAAAAGAGAGGTGTTTGAGTGTCTGAACCAGTTGGAAGAATGAATGGACTTGTGCTGTGTGCAGGGGTTACCTAAAAATTTAAAGAATTCTACCTAAAAATTTAAAGAAAACAAAGTAACCCCTGCTGTGTTCAGGGGTTGCCTAAAAATCTAAAGAATTCTACCTAAAAATTTAAAGAAAACAACTTATATAATGAAAATAAACATTATTAAAATTATATACCGCTAGCAGTAACAGAATCGTCAGCTTTAGGCATAATTGGCGTTGCAGGACTAACAGAAGCTGAATCCCTGGCGTTTTTGTCTTTCAATCTCATTAACATTATCAAACACAGGCAAACGTTTGACAGTTGTTAGGGTCTAATGATAAGAATAAAAAATTAAAACTTCAAAATGAACCTCTGCAACAGCGGCATACAAATGACGCGCAACTCCTGTACCTTCACCAGGTTCATCACGGAAAGTTACTTTTACCTTAAAATTTGAAGTTACAAAATAAAACAGCTAAATTAACCTTATGTGAAGCAAGGGGCAATGACCTTCCAGGGCCACTTGAAGAACTTGTTCTTGCATTAGTAATTTGACTTGGGGTTGCTGTGGATGATGAGGTTCGATTGAAGCAGTTGTTGGTTCAATCGATATTGTAGCTGAAGTATTACTACCCTCAACACTATTTGCCGTTTCCGCAGTCGTAGATATAAAAACCATTAGAATTCCTTGACTGAAGTTTACAGCAATTGAACCAAATGAATAAATTGGAGTAGATTTTGTGCGTACCTTAAAAAAGAAAGATTAAATTGAACAAAATAAATTAAATAGAAACCTCGCTTCCAACAACGATCTCTGATCCACACGATTCAAAAGTGACTTGTTTTTTGCGGGCGCGTATTTTTCCCAAATCTTCCTACGCTCATTAAATGGATAAATTCCTCTTCAATTAATAATTTTTGAGGCGCCAATTATAAAAAACAACCTCCAAAATATATTCCCATTTTTTGTCAAAACAGCACTATAAAGCGTACAACAGAGTTTGTAACATGTGGAGAATTGTCTGGCTTAGAATCAATCTCCCAACTCCAACCATAAATCTTTCCATTATCAGCAAGCGCAATAAGTTCAGATTGCATAGAGACGATTTTTACAAATTTTGTAACGTCATCGGGAAATTGGAAGAAATGTTCCGAGGAAGAAATGTTCCTGGATTGTCGAGGAACTGTCCGCATTTTCCTTGTTTTGGTCTTTTGTTTTGTCTATTGAATTGAAATGTTAAAATAAAAAATTTTCCAAATTTAAACCTTCATCCTTGCGTCTAGCCAAATCACGCGAAATCAAGTATTCGTAGCCATCTCCAGAACGAAGCCCAGCATCGAGCAAAAAAGCAACTCTTCGTGTAGATAGGCCTCACTTGTGTCAACCAAATCATCCATTTCATCATCGCGAGAAATTAAATTGTTGACTGCCTCGTTGACATTTAAATTAGTCCGTTGTAATTCACGAACAATCACATCACGAGATTTGCCTTGTAAAACAACCTAAAGATATTTTAACTAGGTAGCGAAGAAACGAAACCTGGCATTGCATGATTAAATCTTCTGGAACGGAAGAGGCAAGAATCATTGGTCGAGAACGATTTCTATCAATTACAACTCCAGTGCGGCAAAATCCGCTAGAACGAGACCCTGGGCGTGTCATCATAATTCGCTACAAAAAAATTCAAAGTTTGTGAAAAAAAGCAAAGAAATAAACCAGAATTTTGGCAGTCCGATTTGCAACGTTTGCAGCAGCATTTGCAGAAGCTGACGCTGGATCAGAGGAACCAACAGTGCTGGTAGCTGGAGCTGTTGCTGAACCAGGGCCGGATTCATCTCAAACAAAAAATCTATTTAAAAGGTAAAAGATTAAAAAATACTTTTGTCTGTTGGGGCGGCAGATTCAATAGTGTTGGCAACAATCTCGTAACGAAGACGAGCGACTCGATGATCCTAGAAACGTATAAATAGAGGTGGGAGTACTGTGAACTATGTTGTTGGCTCTTGGAAAATCTTCGGAAATTCTTAACCGAACCAAATAGATACGAACTCGAACCGACCTTAAATTTTGGGGCATCCGTGACCGAACCAGAGAACTAACCCACACCCCTACTTTGAACTAAAACCTTGAGAAGGAAGTCAACATAATTATGCCCAGCAGTAACTTGCAAAACATCTTCAGCTGGAATTTTTCGAAGCACGGTACATCCAGGCAAAGTAGAGCAATAGCCTTTATTTCGTTTATCTGCGCATTCTTTAATCCTGAAAATTTCAAAATAACATGAGTAAAAATAAAAATTAGAAACCTTTCAAGCAACAAATTCTCGTTCCCCAGAAGTGTATGTCCGAATAGGAAAAGTTGTTTGTCTTCAGTCATACAATAATCGCTTATTTTTCAATAAATTTAGAATAAATTTTCTAAAACAAAAAACAAGAAATATTAAGGCTTTGGGAGGAAATTTGTGGTTTATGGGCCCATTTTTCTTCCCAGGTTTTTTCCCTAATATGTCCATACTTGTCGGCTTTCTTCCTCAAATTTTTATTGACGACGTTCATGAATATGCCATAGGGAAGTAGAGTTGAACTGAGGAGGGTCTGAACTCATTTTAAGTAAAGAACTATGAGGAGGAAATGGATGGCTGTAAACGACAATGTTACCCTTTACACCCAAACAAAATAATAATAAATCGGTTTAAGAATCAGACCAGTGTCTAATAAATACGATGAAAAGTAAAAGCAAAAATATTAAAATTCGGCGCATAGCTTACGGCGTAAAATTTCATTATATTCGCGAATATTCGACAGAAAATTAAAAAAAACTTTAAGCTAATGCCAGAAAAATTGATGACAGTTTATTCGGTCTTTTGAAACGGAAAATTCGTTAACTCAAAGAACGAATTTCGTTCTTAACAAAAACCCTTGAACTCAGAATTCTAGGATCCGTAACAGGATTAAAAAAACAGGACCGAAACAGGATTGCCTTGAAGACTGTTCACGAATCTGCGATAGGGAAGTAAATAGAGTGGAAACAATAAGAAAGGAATCAAAAAAATAAAAAATAAGCAAAAGAAATGAAAGTATGTATGTATGTAACAAGTGAAAAATCGATACTCTGCGAGAATAAAAAATCAATAAAACTCTAACTGTCTTGTAGCGGTGGGGTATCTTTCCGCGCCGACGATTCCGCGCCGACGTTTCCGCGCCGACGTTTCCGCGCCAGGTCAGTTCCGCGCCAGGTCAGTTCCGCGCCAGCACGTTTCCGCGCCAGCTATACAAAATATGTGATACTTTGATTTTTAAATTTTTTTGATTCTAAAAAGCCATTATCTTTTTAAGTAGGTAATCATACATGTATAGAAAGTGGACCGGCTCGTGTTCAGGTTATTATTTACTTATTTTATAACTGGCGCGGAACCTCTATAGCTGGCGCGGAAACTGACCTGGCGCGGAACTGACCAGGCGCGGAACTGACCTGGCGCGGAAACGTCGGCGCGGAAACGTCGGCGCGGAATCGTCCCTAACCGGTCTTGTAGTTAACAATATGAAACTATATTTTCTCATCACACTTTCTCACTTCTTACTCTTTCCGGTTAGGGACGATTCGGCGCCCAGATTCCGCGCCGCTCAGTTCCGCGCACATATTTCAGCGCCAGTTATAGAAGGCACGTTTCCGCGCCAATTATTAAAAATATATATTTTACCAAACAAATTTGAAAATTTCCCTCCAAAATAGTGTTTGGCAAATGGATTTTTCTGGTTAATCTAGTGAAGTGATTTTTGATTTAAAATGGTAAAATGGTAGTACTTGTTTAAGGGCTTACGCCCAAACACAACAGCTTTCGGTAAGCGGTTCTTAGGATTTTTATACAAGTCTTTATTTTTAGAAATAGATGTTTTTTAAATATATAGCGTTTTGTTCATTTTATTGAAAAACCGATCATTGTTTAATGGGGTTGCGATGGCTGATTTCTACTCAGTTTAATACAAAGCCTGTCATAATAATATAATAATAAATTTTTATTTATCTAGTCCTTCATAATAGCTTAGTGCCTGCACAATATTTCTAAAATATGCATATTGGAAAATTATAATTATTTTATTTCGTACTGGTCAGATTTAGCTCCTTCAATAAACTCCTCAAGTGTTAATTGGGCATCACGATTTTTATCCATTGTCGAGAATATTTTATCTACCCGCTTTTCTGGTGTACTTTCCTGATATTAAGAAATTACACAAATTATCACAAAAATTATATTAAATAAACCTCTTCCGGTAATTTAAGGCTGTTTCCTAACATTTTGTAAATACTGCCGACAATTAATTCTTAAATATATTCTAATAAAAATTTTAAAAAGCATCTTTACTAAAAACTTTGCCCTTTTTTGAAATTCCTTACCCATTTCATTTCTCTTAATGAATCCATCCCTGTCAATATCGTAAAGTTTAAATGCCCAGCCCAATTTTTCTTCTAATGTTCCACGACTGGTAATTGAAAGAGCACGAACAAATTCATGAAATTCAATTGCGCCATCCTTTTGTAATGACAATTTAAAAATGATTGACTTGACAAACCTTATTTTCATCAAAAACTTTAAATATAAATGAGGCAAAATCTGACGGATCTCCTTGTGGAAAAAATTGTTTATAAATTTTCTGAAAACCCTAAATTTAATATATATTATCAATATACAAATTTTAAAAGCTGTTTAACATACTACTTCGGTAAGTAATCCATTTGGACAATCTCTTTTGAATCCTTTGTGCCATTGTTTTATTTCTTTTTCGGTAACTAAAATTATAAACTTATATTAAATACTTACAATTAGTAGGCAATAGACAGTCCCTTGGTCCACGTAAAGACTGAACTCTTACTCGGAACCCGAAGGTTTTGAAAAATGACTTTTTACTATTATTTATCATTATCCACCCTTACTACTTATAGTAAAAAGAAAGGAATAAAATAAAAAATGAGAGCCGATAATTCGATAGTACCGTTATTTTTAGTTTGTTCAATTTATTATTCATTTTTATTATAACTTACAATAAGTCTGGGTTGCCAGTGTTTTAATTTGTTCGGCACTCAATTTGCTGTGAGCTTTCCCCATGCGCATATCCAATTAGCAGCAAATTTTGCTATTTATATTAGTATTTCAACTTATTGACAAAGAAAAAACTGTGACAAAGAAAAAATGCTTCTTTTGACCAATGAATAAATAATTAGAAAAAAATATGAGTGAGAAAGCTTTTCATTTTAAAAAAGTAAATAAAAGAAAGTTAGGATTTGTATATGGATCTTACTTTGTAGAAAAAGTTTACTTTGAAGCGAATGAACCTACACAATGTATAAAGTTATTTTGCGGCTTAAATTAAAGACTATCTATTTATGTATGGATTAATTTTGGCTGGATATCAATGGAACACAAAAACAACCTGAAATCTTGCACGCACATAAAACACCGCTAGTTGCCATAGAGATAGGGTACATGCATTTGAGATTTAAAACATATAATTATCCTTTATTTTCCTTTTATTATATAGAATTTTTTAAATATTTTTTAAAAACAATATATATACATACAAACCTTAACAAAAATAATAAAAACAATTGTCTGAACAAATTAATAATTTTTAATTGTGTGATCATTTAAGGGCAAATGAGTAAAATTAAAAAATAATTTAAACAATTTGGCCAAGTCCGAGAAAATTAAGACTAAAAGGTAATGGATTATTGTCAGTTAATAAAGAAAAGATTTGTTGTTCATCTGTTGGATTTGGCATCAGATACTTAAATTTATTTAGAGAAAAACCGTCCAGTACAGAATCAAGGTTTTGGTAGTATGACGATAGAGAGGATAAATCTATAAAAGCATAATTTATTTTTAATTATTTGAAATATCTCATTTATGACGCATTTTTAATTTAATAAAAAGCAGTTAACTATCACAGGGCAGTTTAGTTCAGTCCCGGCTCACTCAAGTCAGAACCCATCATTTTTTCATGTTTTTGTAACATTGGAAAGAGAATTAAAAACACTACAAGACATCAAAAAATCAAATATCCCAACTAACTGATAAAAAGTTATGATTTTTTATGAAAAAAGTTACTAACTTTTTAAAAAAAATGCTTTCTAGGCATATTATCGGTCATAGCTTTTTTATCAATCAGTTGAGAGTTTTGATTTTTTTAAATCTTGTATTATGCTTAATTCTCTATCTAATGGTATCAAGAACAATAAAAATTATCCAAACCTTCATAAGCTATAAGTGCCTAGACTGAACTGAGGTGTACCAGAACTACAATATAATTTTAAGTTAAATTCACCTGGCAATGTATTCGAATAGTTTGTTTCTTCGTTGAATTCTTCAGTATCATTTTTGTTCAAAGAAGAACAACATTTAAATATTGGATCACATAATGGTTTAACCCCAAAATAATTTGAATAAATTAAATGCCAAAACAACCGAGAATTTTGCCCAAGTGATGGATCATCAAATATATGACAACAATCCTTTAAATGTTATTAAACAATTTGCTGGAAAGTATATTTCAATTCTTACCAAAATTGAAATTCGATTCAACTGTCCACTTTCCAAAATTTCAAAATTTTCAGATTTATCGTCCAGATTAAATTCTTTTATTACTAATTTCTGTTGAAACTTTTGCTTAAAAATTAATGCTTTAATTTGTATTGATTTTTAATTAAAAACCTGAATAAATGTTTGTTCTTCAAAATCTTGCTGTTTTTCTTGTTTAGCTAATGATTCTGAAAATAAATTTAACGTAGAAGTTCAGTTAAGTTACGGCTGATTCAGTCACGACCCTATAACTCATGAAGTGATATTATATTAATCAGTCGAAAATTTTGATTTTTTGAAATCTTGTAAAGTATTGAATTCTCTTTCCAATGGTACCAGGAACAGTAAAAATTATGCATATCTTCATAAGCTATAGGTGCCGTGACTGTACCCAACCGAGACTGAAATGAGTTGAACCGTTAATTAAAAAATATCTTATACAAATTGCTCAGATAATGTAGGTAAGAATTTAAAATCATAAAATTCATAAATATGATATTAATCTTCATCGCAATTACTTTTTAGAAATGACTTGAAGTCAAGACTACTACCAACTGAACCAACAAAACACAACTTATTATAGAAAAATGATGCTTTTAGTAAGTCAACCAACCATTATATGATTGCTTAAAATCCTGCATCATTTCTTTTAAATTGTCATTGAACGCTAGAAAATCAATGTTCTGCTCAAAGTCGTGTAGAAGAACAAAATCATTATGTCGCTTTTTCGAACAGCAATGGATAATCCCGGAATCCAATGGATGCGCTTCTGTATTGAAAATCCATCCACCAGCTGAAAATAAATAAATATAAAGTTAGAAATTCAATTTCTACGTGCTTTTAAATTTTAATATAATAAAGTAAACAAAGACAATCGCGCATTATTAATTTAGAGTGTAAATGAAATTGCGAATTCCGTGTGGCCACTAAGTTCGGGTTTCAAAAAACAAAATTTCTAGACAATATTTACTTTCTTTCGGCCCAAGACATAAAGCAATAAAAAGAAAAAGCTAATCAATCATATCAAATCAATCATGCTGTCATACGATCAATCATATATGCTCTTCCTCTCTAGTAAAAGTGCTCTTTCTTTACTCAATCATATTACCAATACATATGCATATATGTGGCCTTTTAAGGAATGTTATAATAAAAAATTGAAAAGGTTATTTTTCTTAATGTCTATAATTATTCAATATTTTAGTCGTAAACAGACAGTCTAGACTGAAATAATTATTCTAACAATCGCCCACCAATGGAATTTACAAACTGAAAATATCCATATTTGAAGTTATTCTCCCAAAAGTTAAAAATAGTGACCAGTTAATTTTGAAATTAAAATGCCCAGTATCAATTCCTCTACAACTAACAACATAGAATATCAAACTTATAATCGTTCATTCTTTCCTTTTTCCCTCCTAAACAGAATTTGTTCAACAAGGATTTTATTATTTGCTCTTCCATCTTCATTATTTTTAGCTCTTTTAGTATTAATATCATTTACAACACAAATAAATATTGGAGATACACTAGTTTCTGTTGGATCTTCTCCATTAAGAATGACTAGAAATATTCAAGAAGATCCAAATAATGTTAGAGGATCAGAACGCCCGCTGCGTGTAATGACTTTCAATCTTTGGGTATCTGGAGCCAATGTAAAAGACGGACTTGAAAAGATAGCAAAACATATAAATAAAGTAAACCCGGACATAGTGGCGCTTCAAGTAAGATAGAGAGTTTATGATTGATGTATAAAAACATAATTTTTTAAAGGAAGTAAGGACCTTAGAAACAGCTGAAAAATTAATCGAACTTCTTGAACCATCAAAATGGCAATATCGTCAACATCCATTAGCTTTATATCCAGACACTGCAATTCTAACAAAGCACCAATTTATCGATGATCAACAATATTTACATTTACAGTTTGTTGTTAAACAAAATATTTCTTCAGATTATTCCTTACAAAAACGACAAAATGAAGATGAAGAATCTAAAAATTCTAGTACAAATCCTAGTATAACAACATATGGTATGGGAGCATCTATTTGGTTAAAAGAAGATGATCCAGAAAAGAAGCATCTGATTAATTTTGTAAGTCTGCATTTAGATTGGCGAGCGTATGGTCCTTATGCGGCAAACAATAAAAAAGTGAATGAAACTACACAAATTATGGCTGGTGAACGTAACAATCAAGGATATGGTAAAAATATTTAAGAATTCTAGAGCATTTAAAAAATGCTCCAAATAAGAAAAATGAATTAAAAATTAAGGAAGAGCACAAAACATTGAACAACTTCTTGGCAATGAAATCTTTAAAAGATACATGAAAAATGCTGAAACACAACCACTTATTGTAGCAGGTGATTTCAATTCACCTTCGCATTTGGACTGGGTCGAGGAGACAAAGTGAGAAAATAATATAATATATAGAGATTAGGAAATAAATCAAACGGAAATCAGACATATCGGGACGTGCATATCGGAATACTTCAATGTACGAACAATTACTATACTGATTTTGGGACCTACGGCCACCGAGATTTGGGTAGTACAGTGCCCTAGGGTTTTTATTTTAAAGAACCAACGTAAACAAGCAAGAGGTTATGTTATTTTTATCATTGAAAATTCGATATCTCCTTCCTACCAATCAAGCAGATAGAGATTAAGGAATGTTTTTAAAAAATTTAATCTTATAATTAATAAACAAATATGTATTAATCCTTAAAAAGAGATATTCATGGTGGTTGGACCTTTGAATGGCCAGCAACAAAATTAATTATGGATGCTGGATTAAACGATTCATTTCGTGCTCTCTATCCAGACCCAATTAAAGAACCAGGTAATTCAATCAATTAAAAAATATTTTTTTTAATAAAAAAGGAATAACTTGGTCAACAGTACAAAAAACTAGTGGACCAGATTGGGATTGGACTATTCCAGAACCACAAGATCGAATAGATTTTATTTTTTATAAACCTAATGAGCATTTTTGGCCTACAAATTCACAAATATATTCTGGTAAAGAAATATTAAAACCGATGCCTGAGCATTACAACAATGATTGGCCATCTGATCACTTTGCAGTTATTAGTGAATTTGTAATAAATTTTAAAGTTGAAAAGAAGAAAGATAAGACAAAGGAAGAAGGTGAAGAAATGGAAGAAAAAACTAATTATTATTATGAAAAAAATAATGAAAACAATTCAGATAGCGCTTTAACTTTAATTAATAGCCCAGAAATGACAAATTTTTCTTAATTTTACCCGCCCTTTATTAAACATTTCAACTGACCGGCCCTACGTCCTTTATGTTAATTAAATTTCAAAAAAAAAATTTTTATAAAAATATAACCTTCAATTATGCATTGTCCATCAGTTGTTTCCAAAAGTTTTGCATTTGTACCATCATTGTGAATAAAATTATTTTCATCAAAAATTAAATAAAGATATTTGATTGTCTCTGATAGGAAAAATGATTCCATCCTTTAAATTAATTAAAAAATATTTTTAAAATTAAATATAAAACCTGTCTTCCAATGTCCATTTTTGAACGTCACGAACAGAAGCATATCTTTTAAATTTTAAATAAAAATATTTAATGTGTAAATACCTACCCACATTTAGTTTTAGTAAATTGTTCAATTGTCTAAAAATATTTTACTCAAATTAAAAACTTTTAAAAATAAAAACAACAAACATCTACAATTCCAGCAGCAACATGTAAATATGCAGAATCTTCAGTTGCTTTATAAAGATACATTAAACTTTCAATCATTTCAGGTCTCAATGGATATCCTAAACGTTTTTGGACTGGTTCTCTGTTTGGAATATTGTAAAATTCTGGAGGAAGTCCCAAATGCCGTAAAACTTGTAAGTAAGAACTCATTATACGTGCAGCATCTTCAAATTTGCCAATAAGTGTCTTTAAATAAAAGGTAATATTGGGTTATTTCCTCACGTCCGCAAACTTCTCCGAAACTTTTTACATCTTTCTTCACCTTAATTCTTTCTACTCACATAAAGATTAAAAAAGAGGCAAAGAAATAAGAAGAAGAATAGGGCAAAAAGTTGCGGGCATGTGGACATTTTATAAAGTTACTCCAATATTATAAAAAACCTTATAAAATTATAGAAAAATAAAAACAACCAATAATCCTGGCCAGAATGCTTCTAACGATTGAAATATTGGTAAAGAAACAGTTGCTTTATCTTTATCTACCCACATAAACCAATCACCTTTACGTACATGTAAATTTATTGCTTCTTCAAATTCTATAAAAATTCAAAAATTTATTCATAAATAATTTGATGTAATACCATAAAATTGTTTGATCAAATTTGGTCGTTGAAAAAGTAGAGAACCTTTAACCAAATATTCAAAATAAGAATCTACACCAGCACCAATTCCAGAATCAGTAGCAGTAAAAACACCTAAAGTATATTTTCTTGGTACTTGTGGATTATCCCAAACAAGTTTTTGCGGATATACTTATGCGATCACATACCCATAATGGTCGCATGATAGTCAGAGCATCAATACTTTCGCGTTCTCTATTCGATGTACTCGCGAAAGTTTTTTGTGGACATTTTTTGCGGACATTTTTTGTGGAAATTGCTTGCGAATGCTTTTTGCGGTTAAATGGTGAGAATATCGCATAAATATGCCTATAAAACTTGTTTGGGACACAAGTACCTTTTAAAGTACCTTTATTAAAAAATATTTATACCTTACCAGTTTGAACATCAATATGATTTCCAACCAAACCCAATTCTGACCGACTTTTCCATAAAGAATCCAAAGCTTTTAAAGCAATACGTTCATAATGTGGAATTCCAGTTAAACGAGATAATGCTCCAAATTCTAAAATAAAAGTTCCAATACCGGCAACACTAAAATTTTTTAATTAAAATTCTTAAAAAATCTATTTAACCATGTAACAGTATTTTCAAAATTATTGAGTCCATACCTAAAAAATTGAAAAATTTAAAAATAAAAATTAAAAAATACTTTAAATTAACTGTCCCATAAGGCATTCCTGTATTTGAACGAAATGCTGGTAATAATCGTTGGGCAAAACGTTCAGCTAACTCTAAAAGAGGTCCAGAACAAGGCCAACCATCATTTAAGATTACATCTAAATTTAATTTTTGTAAATCAAAATTAAATTTATTAAAAACCTGAAGAATGAGAAGAAAGCATATGAGCAGATAAAAGTCCACCTTCAAAATTTACAAAAGACACTGGCTTATATTTATTACCTGTGTAGTTTCCACCCCATAAGCCCCGCCCATTTCCCATCTTCCCTCACACAAAATTACCCATCTGAATTATACCTTCATGACATTTATATATTGACCATAATGGTCATTTTAAGAGGAAAAGTGGGCGGAACTTATGGGACGGAAACTACACAGGAAACATAAATACATATGTATTTAAGTTCAAACCTATGACACGAATATTTGTCTCAAAAACAGAAATATTTATATTTCTATCCAAATCCATATTGTTAAGAACAATTTGAGAAGCTCTAGCAAATTCTGTTTGATTACCCAATATAAGAAGAGTATCCAATGAATCGATCTAAATTTTAATTATTTTTACAAAATTAATATTAAAAAATACCAATGTAAGGCTATAACTTCCCCAAGTGTCCTGCCCAGTGCAAGAAAGTCTGAAAAAAATGTTTGGTAAAAATCTGTTCTCGCGGACAATTTATGCAGACAGAAATTTATGACTATTTGGTGACATTACAAAAAATCTTTTCCTTATTGTTCTGTTTGATTACCCAATATAAGAAGAGTATCCAATGACCTGACTGAATAATACATTGTACAGAGAAATGGAGTAAAAATGAGGCAGTCTGCCCATTTTATACATATAACTGAACCCGCATAAACTGTCCGCAAAAACAGGTCTGAAATAACCCACAGATACCGGAAGTTTTTAAAAATCAATAAAATATAACTAACGGTCTTAGCTCGTCCTTTGGGTATGCATAATTTAAATAGCCATTATACGCATGATAAAACATTGACTTGACTTTTTCTCTAAAATTTTTAAAATTTATTTATAAAATAACAAAATCACCGATATAATTCTTTCTTCTTTTCAGAAAAATCAAAATTTGTTGAATTACCATGGTAAGCGAAGAAAACACAAATTATAATTAAAATTTTAGGTAATATCCATGTTGAGTAACACATTATCCATAAGAATTGCCTATAGGACAAAAATTAAAAAAAATATTTAACTAAACAAATCCACTAAACAAATCCCGAATTCGTCCCACACGGATTCGCCCTCCGAACAAAACCCCCGGACTCGTCCCAGTCCTAATTCGTCCCACCGCGGATTCGTTCCATATTGCAAATTCTAAAATAGGACAAAAGGCAATTGGCCGGAGACAATTTAACAGTGAAACTTGGAAGGTGCATTTTACATAAGGGTATTTTAAAGTTACATTCGGATCAATAAATCCAAATCTACTCATAATACCTCAATCTTGGATTAAATTTTATAAACAAAATGAGTAATAAAATATAAATTAAATTCATGTGAAAATTTTTTCTTTATCTCCTTCTATTTTTTAAAGGCTTAAACTTTTTCCCCATACACTTGCTGCATTTATATATAGAACAAATCTTTTTATAATCTTCTGACGATGCATCTTTTGAATTTCCAATTACATCCTTTTTAAGTAAAAATATCAATCTTTTTATTAAATATTTCTAACTCATACAGTATAACGTTTATCAATTGTTTCCATTGTAACCAAATTTTCTTTACGTGCTCCAGCATTCTTTTTGTACTGCATTACACTTTTGTAATCATAAGGAAGATTGTAAGTTGTACTCTGGATTTGACCAATCTTGCCAAATTGATTTTCAAGTCCTGTTTTTAGGTTACAATACATATGTATTGTTAGAATTTATTGAATGAGTCTATCCCTGAAGACCTACACCCCACAAAGGCCACATCCAAAATATACATATGTATTGACCCTGAAGAACTACAACTTTTGAAAGGGAATACATATATGGGATTAAGGAGAATAAATCCACAACTCTGAGATAAATAACCAGCTCTATGAAAATAAGTAAACAGTTATGTATTTTAGAACCTATGGTACGGTATTGAGTTTTTTAATTTATCACCTGGAATAATATTTTCCCAATGAATCTTGATATATTTATCTCTGTCATAACGCATCTGTTCGTGCCAAAGACCCACCTTATGCATTAATTCATGAATTACCGTTGAATGGTCTGTACATCCAGGATAGGCTAAATATTTTTTATATTAGTTTTAATAGCAGATATAATTAACTTAATAGACAGCCCCAACCACACGATTCTTCCCATCCTGATTCCAACATAAGAACTTGACGTCCACGGATTTGGCCAACGGTTGTGTAGCATCTTTATTTGAAAAAGAGGGAATTTTAATATGTATTGGGCATTTTTATGGGTCGACAGAAGATCAAGTCAGATCCAGATATTTATGCAACTAGACACGTCTAAATTTTTTGAAAGACAAATCATTTACCCTTCATTTATTTTATTCTGAATGTCAACATAATCATTTTCGTTTCTTCTTCTTGGTCGAAATTTTACGCATGTATTGTCGGAAATTTTGTCCATAGCTTTTTTAATGGTTGCGCGTTGTCTTCTTGCTATTAATTAATGATTATTTTACTCTAAGCACTAAAACCCTTACTGAATCTGCCAGTAATAATGAATGGAATTACATATTTCCCATCTTTATCACGTATCTTAGTCCACCGAAAATTTGAATCTGACCGGAGAGCATTTCGCATTTTCCTATAAAAGTTAAAACTTGCAAGTAAATTAATTAAATCCAAACATTCTCTCTTCATCCCATAGTTGAACAATATCACCTGTATGTCTTCTTTGTTGTAACAAATCCAATGTTTTACTTTTCTTTAAAGCTTCCATCCAAGCTTTTTCTCGTTTTTCTTCCTCTTCAGTCTCATCTGTTTCTTCATTATCTTCTTTTTCAATACTTGAACTTGATTTGGACTCGTCTGATGATGATTTTGAAGAAGAGGATGAAATGAAGTCAGAAGATTCAACAGTATTTTTATCAAATTTAAAGGAAGATGATGGCCATGAATTAGTTAGGGATCTCAATAAATTTTTGGGAAAATTTGGGAAAGATGGGAATAATGAATAATATTCAGGGTTCCCGTCATATTTATTAAGTTCTCTGGCATTTATTAAATTTATTTTTAAATTTAATATTACTAAAATTCGGGAAAGACTTAAAATTCTTAATGAAAATAAAATTAAATCCATTTTTAGTCTGGATAAAAATTTCTAAATATAAATGGAATATTTTCATTTGACTAACTCTTTAAAAACATTGACTCCGCAATTAAGTTTTTGAAAAGGTTTATGTTTGTATAGATGGCAACTACTAAATATTTCACGTCGTTTTAAATAAAACTTATTTTAAATAAACTTAATTAATCATCCAACTACTTATATCTTTTGGATTTTATATGACTAATACTTCCTTTCATTTTTTGAAAAAATGGCTAAAAAATTTTTAAATGAAAATTTTTCGATTTAACGGGTTATATGAATTGTGGAACAGCTCAAAAGGACGCGTGGCCATAACGGCACAAAGCCATAGCTTGCTCCAATATTCCGAATCTTACCAATTTAGTATTAAACAGTTCCTCTCCTCGAACTAAAGAGATTGGTACTATTTTTGATCAAAATTGAGGAAAAAAACTTGCCGGATCTGAAATGTCTGACATATTGATTGTTCAAAATTTTTAATATCAACCAATATGAGAGAACACTTCAGATCGCTTAAGTTCATTATAATGATAAGATTTGCTTCTATATTTTTCATAAATGTTTGTTTTAGAATTATAGACTGAATTATAACTGTAAAAAAATATTTTTTAAAAATAATTTTTGTGGAATAATTTAAAATCTATACATTAATGGACTATTTTTGATCATTTTTATATATATTTAATTTATGTATGTATCAATCTACCCTCCCATTTTCAAGGGGCAATGAATGCACAAAATGTTAGCTAACTTTTTTTGGACCACACAAAGTGTTAAAATTTTTTATGTATTAGAATGATTTGTATTTAGGTATATTTGATTTTATTTTAATTATTAAGCTAAACTGTAAAAAAAAAGTATTTTTTTAGAATTGCAAACATTTATGAAAAAAATTTAAAGAAATTTTATTTTAATGTTAATGAACCACACAAATTGTTAGATTCTCGATTAATTTTAAGCGTTCTTTCTTATTGGTTGATATTTTGAAAATTTTTAACAATCACTATGTCAGACATTTTAGATTCCGGCGAGTCTTATATCATTAGGGTTGACAAAATAGCCTGATTCTCCGAAAGTTTGAGTCGGACATAGGATATTGGTAAAAAATGACTCGTACAGCCCGACCCGATAAAAACAAAAGCCCGAAAAATGCCTCGACTGACGGCCTGACTCGAAGACGCAATCCTAATCATAATGATGTAAATTATATTTTTTACATTTACCTATTTCCAATATTATTTTTTAGTTGATTGGATATTTTTTCCCGAATATCCTTTTTTCAATTTATTAAATGACTAATAGCTTATATTTTTTCGTAAAAATTATCATATGTATGATTATTCATAAACTAAAATTGTGACGATTTTGGTAATTTTTTTGTAATTGAAAATTGGATAGTTGGCAAAAGAATAAATTCCAGCAATAAAATTTATTTATAGAAAATATTATAGATTTTTAGCACAATCTATTTACACAATATCACTCTATTTATTTTATTACAATCTTCCTACCTTTCATCCTAGGAAAGCTTGATTTCATTTAGACCTTGATGCTCAGCTTTCAACTTAAAAAATTTTTTTAATATTGAAGCCTTCGAACTTGATTCTTATAAACTTAAATGCAAAGGACGACGTTTTTTCAATGGTGTCAAAAATAAGTAAATTAGCTATAACTGGGGTTGTCAGCTCGCTCGGAAGATCGACGAGCCGAGGCTTAAAACTCAAAGCTCAAAAAACTCGTATGACTCGAATCGAAATAACAAGCTTAAATGCTCGGAAACGACTCGAAAACAGAAGCTCAAAAAATGTACCGAACGTCGGCTCGATTCGAAAATGGCAACCTGTAGCTATAATCACAATATCATATGCCAAACATTTGTAATTTTAAAAAATTACCTCAGCCTTCTCATCAGCAGTCAAGTCATCCACAATACCAAACTTCTCACGAATATTTTCAGCCGATATTCCCGAAAGCATTCCAGCAATTGTTTTACAACAAACATCCAAGAGTCCAGGAACGTCCAAAAAATCGGCAGCCTTTAAAGAAATTTTTTTGAAGCTTGTTAAAATAAAATTCACGATTGTGAGTGCAAAAAGCTCCGAATTTGACAAATAACCCAGAAAATTCTTATCCCATTCCGGAACTGGCTTATTTCGAAGTTTGACTAATTCATGATCTTGCAAAGGCTCATCATTACTGTGGCGTTTGCACCAACCGAGAACTGATTAAAGAAAAATTTTTGTTGTTAAATTTCAAATTATTTACCTCTTCCCAAAGTTTGATCATCAACAAACGGAATATCAATAACTGTATCTTTTTTATCATTTCGAATATCAATTGATACATTAACATATCCAATCATTCGAATCTTTGAAAATTAAAAATTGGTTTTTGCTAAAATGTCTTTAGAGCAGTTGAGTCGCGACCCTATAACTCATGAAAGGATGGTTACCAAGAACAGTAAAAGTTATCCACACCTTCAAAAGTTATAGGTGCCGCAACTGAACCCAAACCTTCTCGTTGAAATTTGGCATCTCTCTTAATTAAAAACCTACCATTTTCTCTCCAATACGTTTTGTTTTGACACCTTCAACACCACCAGTTCTCAATCTAAACTTCTTTTTGAGGCTTGATATAGCAGTTGTTGTTGAAGAACTTTTTTTGATGTTTGATGATTCCATTTGATTGATGATCCCTTAGGAGATGCTTGCAAAGAAAATAAACTAGCCGATTTTTGATTGGATTGACTTGAGGAGACTATGTTATTTACACAGAGCTATTGCTTTTATAGGTAAGAGCTGAACTTGTACATTATTTGATTATTAATTTATAAACCAATAAATTTATCTGTATTTTCTAGAAAATTTACATAAATACATTTTTGTTTAAAAATTGGGAAAAATTCAATAAATATTTATGTACAGATCGTTAAAAATTTTTTTTAATTCTATGAAGTTGTAGAAGCTTCATTTTCGCCACCATCTTTTTCCTCTATAAAATCCATCCAAACATTTCCAACATCCAAAATTTGATTAGAAGGCACAAAAAAAGTTCGAAAAACTCGACCAAAAGGTTGCCGAACAAATTGTAAAATTACAGCAGCTCCCCCATTTACTGCTAATTCAAATTCACCAATACTTGTATCCATATAATTTTCAAATGTTGACTGGGATCCTTCTAATGCTGTTGCTGATGATGGTGAAAATGAACGTGATAAAGAAAAGCCTTGCTGTGGATGATCTGCCACAGAAACTCTAACTCCAGCTAATGGCCCTCCTTTTATTGAAAGAATACGGCCTCTGAGCACAGAAAGGAGCCTGTAAAAATGAATTAGTAAATATTAAAATTCTCTACTATGCCAAAAAAATTTTAACGCGAGCCTAACTCTCATATGTGTATCTAAGTTGTCCAAAAAGGCTGATTTTCCAAAAAGTAAAAAAAAATCTTTAAAAAATCTATGGGGATAAGTAGCTGGTTATAGAACCTATGGTCATATGGTCAAAAACGACCAACCCATATTCCCGGATATTGAAACGTAAACCAAAAATCTTAATCAAAAAATTCAAACTTTGGATCAAGCAAACGAGTATCGGCATAGCGCTGCACAGACAAATCACCGCTATCAAAAAGAAAACGAACACGTTCAAAAAATGGTATTTGTTCTAATGTTGTATTTTCCTGTTGTTGTTTAGTTTCATTGATGAAGGAGAGTTTTAGAAGTAATTCTGGTGAAACAAATGAACCCAGACATAAAGAATTTGATAGACAAGAATTGTGTGAACAACATTCTGTAGAATCTTCACAATCAGTTAATCCATCTTTTTTTAAATTTTTAAAGATTTTATTTTAAAAAATATACAATTAAAAAAATACCTTCATCATTGTCTTCACCATCTTCACAATTACTTTCTGCACGAAATTGGCAATATTCACCATAATAACCATAATTACATTCACAATGCCACCAACCTTCTCCATTTACTTTTTTAACACTTAACATACATTGACCATTTGATGAGCAATTTTTTGGACAAAGTTCTAAAACAATCTTTGGTAATTATGAACCTTGTGTAAGCCCTTTCTATTATCTCCCCAAATATGAGGAGATAAGTACCCGGTTCTATGTGCTAGAATTTAAAATAAATTTTTTACCAATTTGACAATTAATTCCAGTCCATCCAGATAAACAGTTACATTCTTTCATCTTTTTGCCTTCTTCATTTTGTTTATTAATTAAAATACAATTTCCATGTCCAGAACAATTAAGCAAGCAATCTTCTTTTTTATTTTCCTCATCATTTTTAATTTGAATTTGTTCAATTTCTTCTTTTATTTGTTGTAAATTTTGTTCACAATATTTACCAATCCATCCAGGTAAACATAAACAAGTACCATCTGGTTGGCATTGACCCCCAATACCACAATCCTTATTATCACACCTTAAAAATAATTAATTATATTTTATTCAAAACTTCGCACGATGTGCTCGTTAAAATGTTATATAGCTTGCCATAAAACGAGAAAAAATAGAGAAAAAAGGGGTGGGTGTAAACAAAAATATATCAAATTAATCTTTTTAAATGTAAACCATTCAATTGTTTCCTCACATTCCACGCCTCGAAAGCCTTGGTGGCACAGACATCGACCCTTGTTAAATACGCCTTGACCAGAACATAGCACCGGGCAAGATGTTTCTGTAAAATATTAAAATTTCATTTATTTTGGGGTTAGATTTTAATAATTATGTACTTTTTATTACCTTCACAAAATAAACCACTATAACCAGGATGACAAACACAACGTCCTTCTATGCATTCTCCTTTTCCAAAACAATTTGAATGATGACATTGAGAAATAATTTTATTATTTTTATGTTGTTCAATATTTGAAGGTTCTTCCAGTTGGGCAATTAATTCAATATACTCTGACTTTAAAAATAAAGTTAAAAATGGATTCAGCCCAGAAGGTCAAATCCAAATATTTAGGCAAAATATTTGGACCTCTTCTGCCTTATCTGACAATTACACGAGAGAATCTCCGCTTACATCCCTTAATCCCAATAAATCCATCCGCCTACCGCCCAACCAAAAAAATATTTTTCAAACTATTACTTCAGTTTTATCATTCAATAATCCAAAATGCCATATTCCTGCTTGTAAAAAGTGATTAACAAATCCCAATTTCTTCTTTTGTCCAATTTTTCCTTCCTTTTCTCCTTCATTTAATGTCATTTCTTTCTCCAAATGTAAATTTTCACCAAAAAATATTTTTTGCCAATCAAATTGTCCAATAGTTGGACGAATTGTCTGTCTTGCAAAAATAATTATTCGAGAAGATGGGCCAATTGTTAAATTTAAACGAAATAGAGAATTTTGAGGAATATAAATTTGAGTAAATAATAAATGATATGGAGGGAGTTGAATAATAATTGGATTATTGAGTAAAAGTTGAGTGGGAATATTTGGCAATTGATGGGCTAAAAATGGGAGATTTTTTTTAATTTTAATTAAAAAATTTAAAATTAGAACCTGAAGATGTGGAAGAATGTTGTTGTTGAGCATTTGATAAAAATGAGATTCTAGTATTTTTATTTTGAATATATTGGTTATTAATAAATTTTTGTGAAGAAAATGATGAATTTGAAGAAAATGAAAAGTCTTCCCGTAATACTAAAAATAAAAAAATAAATTAAAAAAAATAATTAAAAAAAACAAACATGTTAGCCAAACAAGTAATAAACAAAGTGAAAGCAGTAAAAGCATCGCAGGAAGTAGCAAAAATAAAATAGCCGGCCAACGGCCAAATCGGTGACAACAACTTAAACATTTTCTATGCCTCTTTTGTATATGCCTATTTTGTTGAGGCCGTCTACAAAATTAAAATTTAAACGTAAGAAAAATAAATGAACCTCTTTGGTGGCGGACAATTTGGTGGTTGTGGTGGAGCATGAATTGGAGGAGGACCACGCAACGGCACTAAGGAACCACAAGCATATGATGCGCCGCCGCCAGAACTTGAAGAGCCAGCACCAGCACCAATAAGTAAAGGAGAACACGGAGAATTATTAGCTGATGGACGATTTATTGTTGATGTTGTTCTCATTCCTATTGTGGCAAAATCAAAAAGAGAGGATTGGCGTTGTTGATGACGGTTATTAGTGTTATCAAAATTGTTGTTGGAATTATTAAAAATGGTTGACATGTCATCATATTTTCTAAAAAATTATCTTAAAAATAAAGAGAAAATTCAAAAAGAGGGGGTCACATTCAATAAGGGGGCTTTTATTTTATGGAGGTCTCAATCTTATTAAAAATTTGGCGCTTTTTCCAAAAAAGAAAATATTTGGGAAAAAATGGTCATCCATTCACTCAACTACATAATAATAATCATTCTTTACAATTATAAGAATATTTAAAAAGAAGCTTCTGAATAATTGATGGAGAGTGAGTGTATTATTGTGTATAAGGGAAAACAATCTTCACAGATTTCCGCATGGCTGGAATGGCGGTTGCCACCACCAAGGTGAGAGAGAGTTAATTGCCGACCGCGAAAATCAGGTAGTAGACTAACTCCATATACTTACCAATAAAGAAACGATCTTATTAAGTAGTAGCTCTTGGCATAAAAGAAAAAAAGGTATGGTGAGAAGGGAGAAAAAATTAAGAAAAAATTGAGAAAAATGAAGGAATACGGCAAAAATGGCGCAAAAAATGAATAGTCAAGTCTCGATTTTAAATGGCCACAATTTTAGATACCTCTCGTCTTTAAAAATAATTCTTTAAATTTGTTCGGCTAATGGGTAAGAAGAGCAGTTAAACGATCCCTCGATCTCAGATATCCCTCATTTTAAAATAATTTTCCAGCCCCGTGGAGGTATTTAAAACTAGGGTTGTCGACTAGCTCGACCCGAATCTCGAAAGATCGACGAGCCCGGGCTATTTAGCTCAAAAACGAAAATATTTATATTAAAAATTCGGCTACAAAAGAAAAGTCAAAAACATAAAAACTGAATATATTTTATGTGTGAATAAATGCTTTTGGACCAATTATTCTTACAATAATAATACACAAGACTTTTTCACCCATCATCCCCAGCCCTTTTACACTTCCCTATTGTTCTCCTAGTTTAAACAAAAAATTAAAAATAAAATAAAGGCACACATTGTAGTACTGAAAAATGGCGGGAGGTTGTTTTATAGATTTACAGAAAATTGTAGAATTTTTTAAAAAATCCCCCAAAAAACTGAACAAAAAATAAATAAATAAATATCATTATTTATTTATTTATATAAATATTCATAATTACGTAACATCCACTATGTGAGTATTAAATGACAAATCGAGAAAAATATTAACGAAGCACTTGAGGTTATACATATATCTGATTATTTGTAAGATTAATATCTTATAAAAATTTGGTATATAGAATAAACAAAAAACAAAATTTCAGTGAAATACATGATGTTATATCATTTATAAATTAGTAAAGGTTGAATTTATTCCTTGAAAAAATGAGGAAGTGCTTTTTCGTTTTGGGATTTGCCAGTAAGCAATTGAGTGTACGCTGAGTCTGGACATCCCTTTCGAATCGGGACACGAATTCGGTCAGGTCGAATTCAATTTAAAAATTAGAAAAGGACCAGAAAAGTTAATCTTTACCCATAAATCTTAGAAAAAAATATATGCCAGTCCAATTCTTGATTTTATAAATATTTTATATATTAGCATAATTTGGCAAAAAAGAGAGAGGAGTGTTTTGGATGAAGAAAAGGACAATTATTAAATGATGAATTGAATGGACACAATTTAAAGAATAAAAATAAGCAGACTGCTGGCACAACATAATTTAAAAATGAAAGAGAAAAATTATAAAAATTCCAGATATACCAACAAGTGTCTTTCTAATTTGATTGCGCAGTTTTAAAATTTTTTAGTAAAGCGTAAAAGGAAACAAAATTTTTAAGGGTTTATTTAATAAAATGGAGCCTTTATTTTACTGGGCCGTGCATAAAAAAGTTCGAATTCAAAAATACTTTTAGAATTTTATGTTCAAAAGCTATGAAATTTTGGAAACTCTTAGGAAACTCTTTTTAGAAACTCTTTAGAGCGTTTCCTAATAGAACCCAAAATTTCGATTATTCTGAAAGTCTACATAGTATAGAATAAACTTATCGATATTTTTTATCAAAAAATATTTTACCTCGAATTTATTTGTTCATAAGGAACGAATCTTGTATGTAAATGACCATCAACAACTGAAACAATTGCTGAACAATTCTTTAAAGCACCAAAAGTTGAGTTCTGGCAGAAATCTAAAAAATTTGAATTTTTCTTGAACGTTTTTGACGAAAATAGGAATTAAATATGAATTAAAAATCAAAGAGTAAATATAAATGTATATACCGACAAAAAGAATAATAAAAATAGGAGGGTATTGGTATTTTTTGGTTGAGTGGTCAATAATTATAATTAAGAGAAATTGTGGTCTGAAAACAAAAAATCAGTTTTTGGCAACGCCAGATAAGGCAAATTTCACTAATTTTCATAAAATTATCTAAAAAATATGAACACTCAAGTCGTAAATATCCACGATTTAATATTTCTATGCAAATAAATGTATATTTGTTTATTTACTTTACCCGTTAAAAGTAATAAAAACAAATAATAAAAGACATTTCCCACCTTTACTTTTTGTATTATTAATAGTTAAAATGGCCTAGCAAATAAAAGTTTTTATATAAACTAAAAGTTTTGGAGAAGTAACTAATGGGGTTAGAAATGAAAAATGAGTCCACCTTGAAGACCTATTGACCCTAAAGACCTACAACTTTTGAAAGGGAATATCGAGGGATTTAGAGGGCAGTAGGTGGGATAAGGACCCAACTCTGTGGAAGATAAACTGTATTCTAGAACATTGTTGGTGTGTACCATAACTCTGGGTTAACCAAAGCCATCGATATCTCCTTAATCCCTCAATATTCCTTTTTGATATTCACTTTCCAAAGTTTTAGGTCTTCAGGGCTGACCTCATAAAAAATGCTCGCTAAGATTTTTTTAACATTTTAGATAATAAATGAACCTTTACTTGTAGATGTACAAGGTTCTTCATATTCATTGCTGTCTGAAACTGGGGCATGGTCCTCCATTTTTTTCTATATTAAATAATACTTTGATATCTTAAATAAAAAATAAATAAAGAAAATAAAAAAAAGGTGATGGGCTAAATTTGAAAAAAAGAGAGGAAAATTTGGTTAAATATTAAGCGAATAAAAGCACTTGCAGGTGGGTGGCTGCTCCTCAACAACAATATTTTTTCCCTCAAACATTTTTGCCTTCTCAATTTCTAAACAAATTGCCCTCTCCTTTTAGAATATTTTTATATATACACTAAATATTGTATCCACAAATCGGTTCAAATGTGAGATGGTTGGTTAATTTTTAATGGAGCAAGAAACAAGTTTTAAGAGAAGAAAGTTTTAGGTCTTAAAAAAGACTTAAGATTTTATAAACGTTAACTAGTTAGGCTTTTTGGTTTAGTCAATGTCAAATTTATTAAATAAAGTCGGGTGGTATATTTAGAAAAACAGTAAAGTTTACAAAAAATAGTTATTGACCTAACAATAACGGACAGCCACCCACTTTTCAATTAAGAATTCTTTTCAACTTTTTTTACCTCTACCAGTCAATTGTCAAAAAAGGGTGAAAAGAATATGAGAAAAGGTTTGGCGGAAGTGAATTATGCAAAAAAATATGGGAATAAAAGAGAAAAAAGGACTTTTTGACGATTTTTGTTGTGGACAATGGCAGTAACAAAACCAAAAATTCTGGACGGGCCAAAAATGAAATGAAGAAAAAAAGATAAAAAGGACATCCCGCAGTGGATTTTGTTAAAAAAAATTATGTGCAAAGGCGTGAAATATTTTTTAGATTTATAAAATCAAAAAATCAGGTACAAATAAAGTTAGAAATTTTGTTTAATATTATGTCAAAATTGTTAGAAAAAAACAAAATCGTAAAATGATAAGAATATTATGAATGATTAAAAATAAAATGACTCCCAAAACGCGAAAAATAGAGATAAGAAAATTGTAGGCGACAATTGGGTATTGTGACAATTGAACAAAAAACTATTGGACAAGGGACGATTGGACGTTGAATCGTGGTTAAGTGGAATTTATATAGGTAGATTAGAAAGTTGGGCTTCAAGTTCGGTCTATTCTCCTGACAAAACTAGAATTTATTTCAGGTTTCCTTTTAATGTTTAAAAACAAGAAGTTCCTCATGTTCAAAAATAAGAAGCCAAAATATTTTTTTTCATTTTCTTGAATTTCTACTAAATACATAGGAATAAATTGTTTTGTTTATATTACATTGGCACTTCTGGCGATTTTTTTGGGTAGCTTGTATATTTTTAAGTTGAGAAGAAAGACAAATATTAAACGAATAACTTGTGTTAGGCAAACCAAAATAAAAAATAAAATAAACTCTTAAAGTGATCAATACTTAAAAAAAGTCGAAAATTTCTGAATTTGCCGAAGTTCTGTGTCAGATGAGACAGAACTCTGACAAGATTTACTCTGACAAGATCAGAAACAAAAAACCTTCTTGAAAATTATACCGGATATTTAAAAATAAAAATCTTTAAACATCAAAAATTGACCACAATACATAAAACATCTGTGGGGTTTTATTCAAGAATATGTATTATATTTCTTTAAATTTTTTATAAAAAAGAGAGAATGGTCGTCGGGTAGTGACAATAACAAAAAGGCCATTGGTCGATTTTTTCCGATCTTTTATTGCTTTTTCAACTCTTAAATGTGTAAAAATGTGAATTATTTGGCCAAAATACTACAAACAAATCAATTGTATCTTAGTGAATTGGGAGGGAGGAGGGAGAGGGGGGAGAGAACTTGGAAAAAAATTATTTAACTTAATTTTTACTAACGAATTTTTACTATTTCCACAACAAAAATAGTAACAAAAATTAAGAACTTGTAAAAATAACAATATAACAACAATTAAGAGAAATACCTGAAAATTTTTTCAATTATCTTTGGCATCATCATCATAACAAAAAAATCCAAGCCTTTCAAGTGGACTTGGTGTTCGTATTTTTTTAACATAATCATCCAATTGTTTACTAGCTGCCAATAAAAAGCCCAGAAATGGAGGACTTGGTTTATGTGGAGAAGAAAGAAATTCTGGGTGATATTGTACACCAACAAAAAATGGATGATCTATATCAAAAATAATTTACTCTAGTTTAAATAATTCAATTTATTTAAATACCTTCTCTTGACATTTCTGCCATTTCCATTCTAATAGCAGTTGAATTAGTACCATCACCACCTCTTTTACATAATTCATCAATTTTATCAATTAATTGATTCTAATATAATTAAAATTTATTTTTAAAAATAATTAAATTTACAAAATCTTCAGGCAAATTATCTCCTGCCGCATTAAGTAAAGAAGAGGCTGATTTTGTTCGAACATTTCTTTTAGAATCCCAAGTTTCATCCACACCCATTCCTAAAATTAATAATAAATGTAATTGAATTTTTAAAGCTTCAAAAACATACCTACAAAAACAAGGCCTGCACGACATAACTTTGGAACAATTGAAGGATTAATCTTAAATTAAGATTATTTTTAGAAATCCAAAGTAAGCAGAATTCAAAATTACCTCGTATCTATGGCGATGTCTTTCATCAACAGAAGGTTCATTATTGTATAGTTTATCTATAATTTTATAAATTAAAAAAAAATTTAAGAAAAATCTAAAAGGTCAACTACCACCCAAGAAGGCCAACTACCCTAGTGGTGACCCTGGAATAAATAAAACAACAAACTTAGGAGTGAATTTTTAGTTAAAAACACAGTTGTTCGACTTCCCAATCTCATTGTAGCACCCATTCCATATTTTTCACCAGCATGTTCAGGCATGTTAATAACAACTTTTTGTTCTGTTGTTAATTCACGACAAAATTCTGTTGAGTTTGCACCAGCAATTTTACAAACATTTCTTGCAAATTCAATAGCAGCACATTGAAGACCAAGACAAATTCCTTAAAAAAATTTTCTTAAATTTCTAAAATATTTTAATTACCAAGAAATGGAACACAATTTTCTCTGGCATATTTGCAAGCTAATATTTTACCTAGAAAAATATAGCGTTATTTAATAATTGAAAAAATTCCTGCTACTCCACCTCACCCAAAAATTTTTATTACTAACTCCTCCTGATTTATAAAAAAATTTACCCTCAACTCCTCGATCGCCAAATCCACCAGGAACGATAATACCACTAAAATTAAATAAGTATATAAGAAATATATTAAAACAATACTTTACAGATAAAAGATAAAGTGCCCTCTCGAATTTTAAAAACGGAAGGCGGGAGGATGCAAAAAAATTCTACTGACAATGAACATGGAAGCAGGAGGATGAATAACACGTAAATGGAAAAAAGAAGGGTCAAAAAATCGGACTTCTATGGAAGCCTAGTCCCTAGTGATTCCTGGCCCACAAGAATTATCACATCGCTGGTGCACAGTAGTATAATTTTCTAAATAATTTTTAAAAAAACTTACTCGCAATTTTTTAGTAAATTCCAAGCCTTCTCATTATCTTTAATTGCCCCATTTTTAATTGGTTCAAGATTCTCTGCATTTATAAAATTAATTTTAAGTTTTCTACAAGAATAAATTGCTGCATGTTTTAATGCTTTAATAACAGAAGCATAAGCATCATAAAAAACATCATCACTATCAGAATTTATATATTTAGCTACAAAAGCTATTTTTATTTCTTCTCTTGGTTTTTCAACACTATAAAAAAATTGAAAATTTTTTTTTAAATCTTTTAAAAAATAAAATTTTTACTATTCACTTAATTGACGCCATCTAGAAATATTTAATTCTGTTTTGATTTCAGACAACAATTCTGGAAGTTGAAAATGTTCACATAGTCGATTGAGTACTCTTTGTTTATAAAGCAATATTGGGACCTGTTAAATTTTATTTAAAAATTATATCACTAAATTGAGGTAAACGCTGTGCGGCCATATCGGAACGGACATACCGAGGATTGATGTGAAAAAAATAATTCCTAGCGTGTTTACTTTGGTCTAAAAAAATAAACTTTTTTCAATAGGGCAATGTACTAATATAAGTAACAAGAACCCAGTGGCCGTGATCCTGAAATCAATAGGGTAACCGTTCATAGATTGAAATATCCCGATATATTTGTCCTGATATGCCCGTATGCATAATTCGAGTATATGAATAAAAAAATTTTTAAACAAACTTGGTAAATATTTGAACAATCAAAAACATCGATAATTTCGTCAGACTCTAACTGTGAAAATGCTGATATTTTTGCTCGTAACGCATCGTTTAGTGGCTTTTTTGAACGGCAAATAAGTAAGTCAGGTATAAGACCTGTTTCCCTTAAACTTTTAAGGCCATTTTGAGCAGGTTTAGTCTTCACTTCGCCGGTATCCTTTTATAGAAATTTTTTAAAAATAAAGAAAATAATATAAACCTCATGCAAAAGTTTCGTTACATGAACCTAAATTTTGTTATGAATTTATTTTAATAATGTGATTTGAAACTCACAGTCATAAAACGATTTCTTTCAGTTTTTCTCCTAAATGCTTGGCTAAATGCATTTGTATAAGGCATTCCTTCTATGTCTCCCACAGTGCCACCCAGCTATAAAAAATTTTTTAGAGTTAAAATTAATTTAATAAATACCTCAATAATACAAACATGTGGAATTTTATTAGTTCCATCCAAAGGAATTTTCGATACGCGTTCAACCCATTCAATTATTGCTTCAGTAATATGTGGTACTGTTTTAACAGTCTAAAAATTGAGAACAAATTGTTTTAAAAAATTAATTTAAAAAATTAAACCCTTCCAAGGTAATCTCCACGCCTTTCTCTTTCAATAACTTGTTGATAAATTTTGCCAGTAGTAATATTATTGTCCCGACTTAACCGAAGTTTCAGAAATCTTTCATAATTTCCCAAATCTAAATCAACTTCACCACCATCATCAAGAACAAAAACTTCGCCTAAAAATTTTTTTCAAATATTAAAAAAATATTTTCAAACCGTGTTCAAATGGTGAAAATGTTCCAGCATCAACATTAATGTATGGATCTATTTTAATGGCCGAAACACGATAACCTTTAGCTTGAAGAAGAACACCAAGGCTAGAAGATATTATTCCTAAAAAATCTTTTATTAAATAAAATTTAAAAATAACCTTTTCCAACTCCACTCATTACACCTCCAGTAACCAAAATTAATTTAACCGAATCATTAGAACCGGAATCAGTAGAATCAGAATATTGCTCCATTACTTATTGTTAGCTATAAGATCCTTAAAAGAATTCAGAAAGGTTTAAAAATTATAGGAAAATATTAAAACAGAAAAATGTGACTGTGTTTTGACCGAGGTTTACTAAAGATGTGTTTTTTATGGAATAGCGCGTCAGTTTTTTCTAACCCACGCCAGCTTCTCCCTCACCTCATATTGTACATATTTCCCTGAAAAGTTAGCTGTGTGCTCGCCTACCTTACATTAGTAAATCGCGGACAACCCACAATTATTATAGTATAAATCCTCCAAAAGGAATTTAAAAAACTAACAAATATCAAATAAAAACAATATTATTGATTCAATATCGCTACTTTTTTAAAAATTTTATTTAAAAAACAAACAAACAAATATTTTTCAATTTAAATAAATCAATTTCTTTTTTGCCTAAATAAAGGTTTATAATAAGCCTTATCAGAAGACAAAGCATCTATTTTTACAGGAAACATTTGTCCAAGTAATTCCAAAAGATTGGACGGATCAACTTCATTGTATATTGAATTATTATTCAAATTTTGACTGAAAAAGAAATCCGTTGTTAAATTAAAAATTTATTTTTACCTTGATTCTTTAATTGGTTCAAATCTTTCAAACAAAGAAAATAAATGTTCAAATTCTGGATCAACAGATAAATCTAAAAGTGCACGTTCTTGAGGAGTATGAGTAGTTTTGTTGAGTATCTCCAGTTTTTTGGACAATTTATTCGCCAAAAGCCTCTGGAAATTTTTTTAGAAAATTAAACAGAAAATATGAATTTATAAAAAAAACCTGCAAAGGAGGAATTGGAAATGAAGATGGAAGGCGAATTTTAGGCATTTTATTCTCATTTTCAATCAATTTCTTTTCTTCGTGTTTGTGAACAAGAATCCATTGTGAACGATTTAATTCGTTTCCAAATTTGTAAACACCTAACGGAATGCCACGAAATGTCCATTCTCCCCATAGAACGCCTTGTTGAAGCCAGCGATCCATTTTTGGACGGGCCTGAAGAAATAAAAAAATTGTTTGTAAATTGTAAGCAAAATAAACATACTGCAATAATTTTAATATAGGACGATTCTAAAGGCCATTTTGTATTCCAACAATAATTCTAAAAAAATTTTAGCAATAATTTCTTAAAAATATAAACCGTTATATATCGTCCTTCACCCATATTTCTCAACTAAATTTTTATTTATTTTTAAGTTTTAAAAATATCAAACCTGTGAAAGTATTTCCCAAACAAATTTTCCCTTACTAGTAAAATCGTGTTGCCCGATAAAGCGAAGAGACATTTTCTAGAAACAATTATTAAAAATTAAAATAAAAACAAAAATATTTCTAAACATAATTGAGATATGTATTTCGAAAAAAACAAAAAAAAATATATAAGCATAAATATTTATTATTAAAGGAGCAAATTATATAATAGATGATCAAATTTTTTCGAAATCTATTGCGAGACACTCCTATTGGAAAGAAATATTGGCAAAGAAGAATTTTTTAGGTGTTAATTAAAATTTAAATCGAATCGTTGTATATTTTATTTTTTTTAAATTATTGTTCGATTGGGAAAAAATGTATAGTAAAGAGAGATAAAATAAATAGTGCCAAAAACAAAAAAAGAAATCAGACGAATAAAAATTATAATTTTGTGAAACAATTTTATTGTTCAATCAAATCTTTTTTTTAAATATTAACACTATTCGTCTGATTCCTGGAATAATTGTAAATAGGATATATTCTTTTAATCTGACATAATGTGCGTACTATTAAAGAGATATGTCAAAAATTAAACCAAAAGATTAAAATAATTTTTTTAGAATTTTCGACCCATATGGGAAAAGTATTTTGAAATTTACTTTCCAATTTATCGAAAATAATATTTTTTTGACATAACTCTAACATATAAGAAAATTTTGAATTTTCAACAATCAAAGATTAGTAAACGTACACCTTCTTAATTCAACATTAAGATTATCTTCAGTTGGAATACTAGCATTTTTATTATTACTACTTGTAGAGCATAAAACCTCTTTATTAATAATAATATTACCATTAGCACCATTTAAATTAACAACAACATTTGATGATCCAACAAAATGATTATTTTTTTCTTCGTTGCTAGGACTTTTTTTTGGTGTTCCTGGTTGTGAAGTATTACAAGAAGACGAAGAATTTTCTTTATTTATATTACTACTAATACTACGTTCAATTGATAATCTTGCTGTTGTTGTTGAAGCATTTTCTCCTTCTGTATTATTAGCAGCAGAAAAAAGCTCCAATTCAGCAATTTGCTTCTTTTGTAATTGTGAAAGTCGTTTTTCACATGTACGATCAAAGAAGGATTTATCGTCATTAATCTGAAAAACTATTAAAAAATAGGTTTTTTGATTAAAAATAACCTTTTGTTGAACAACAGCCAACCGTAAATTAAGCCTATCTTGTAGTTGAACACGTTCGCGTTCAATTTGAGCATATAAAGAAGCTTTTTGTCGTTCTTGATAATCTGTCAGTAAACTTAATTCTTTATTAAGTTTCTCTGTTAATAAACGAAGATCCTCTTCTTGTTGTGAATCTAATTTAACCTGTAGAAGAAATTTTTCTTAAGATTAAATTTTAATAAAATAAAAACCGTTTGTTCTGTAACCATTTTTTCAATAGTTAATTCATATTGATCAGCTAGAGCTGCAATTTTTCTATTTTGTTCTTCTTTTAAACGAATATGTAATTCCTTGTGCTCTTCTTTAGGAACTAGTTGTAACATATGTGCCTGATATGCTTTAAATTGTCTTGATTGGATTTTGACTGCTAAACGAAATTGTTTGCGAATTATAGCTTCTTTAGCCTTAAAAGATATTTTTAAAAAATATTCAAAAAAAATCACAAAAAATACTTTTAATTCTCTTGGTTGTTGTTTTGATTGCATAGCATGTTCTTTAGTTTTTTCTTCAAGAGCTCTTTTATTATAATCCCGTTGACTTGACAATTCTGCTTCATGTTGTGCTTCTAAATGACGTCTTTTCATTTGTTCAATTAAATTAAAATGAGAAAATTCCAAAGATTTAATAATTTCATGATGTTTATTTAAAAGAGCATGTAAAGTATCTAATTGACGTGCACGAATATTTAATTCCTAAATAATTTTAAAAAAATGAAAATGTATTGGAATTAGGTTTGCCGGTGTCGAGACAGGCCGAAGTTGAGGCATTCTTTGGGAATGATTTTAACTGAACAGGGCCGTTCGAGTCATTTCGAGCCAACTATCCTATATCAACTCTATCTTTCGGTCCGACTCGGTCCATTCATGGCAACCCTAGTTAAAACAAAAAGAAAACAAACATTATTTGTGAGTTGAGTTTCAAGATTGTGAAAGCGCAATAATTGTTGCTTATTTAATTCTTTAAGCTCTTTTTGTAAAATAAAACTTTGTTCATCAGCAAATTTTCGTTCAACATGTTGTTTGATTTCGTTAAGGCGAACCTTTGCTGCTTTCAACGCTACTTCATAAGCATTTTTTGGAAGACCTTGACTTTTAAGTTCCTAAAAGTATAAAATTAAAATTTTTTCTAAAAAAAATCCAAATTCTAACCATTTTACATCGTTCTTTATTGAACTTATATTCCTTCTTTTGCGCCGCTACATAACTCTTCAAGTCATGTTTTAAAGTTGCTTCCCTAGTTTTATTTGTTTTTCTTGATTCTTCTTCATTTTCTCGTCTACGCCGTTCCAATTCTAATTGAATCTGTGTTCGTACTTTTTCAGTTTCTCTTTGACAATTTCCTTCTAATTGTTCACGTTCTCTATCTAATTTTAACCTTTGATTGTCAGCATCATTACTACAACGTTCTTCTAATTGTTTTAATTCTTTATGGTGTTGTTGCCTTAAACGTTTATAACCACACATTTGTTCATATAAATTATCTGCTTGATATTCTTGAAGTTCACGAGCAATAATTTTTGTAGTCCTAAGTGTAGAAAATTTGGAACGACGAAGAGTATTGATATCATCCTGCATATTAAGAGATTAATTGAAATTATTTTGATTTATGAAATAAAATTCTAAATAAAAACCTTGACTTGTTGTTGATCAAAATTAGTAGAATGCAAACTTAATATACCAGAAGGTGTCAATATTTGTTGTTGTTGATGTTCAGGTTCAGAAGAAGGCAATGAATCTGTTCCATTTAAACTAATTATTGTTCTGTTATTAATACTTAATTGATGTTGCAAATGTTGATTATCTTGTTTTTCATCATTTTCTTCTTTAATTTCTTCTAATTTATTTGATTGTTGTTGTCGTTGATGATTAATGTCATCTTCGGAAGTAATAGAAATATCCTTTAAAATATTGAAAATATTCTTGTTGTTAGTTTAAACTAAGATAACGCTTCAACCCGCTAGGATCAGAAATGTAAGAGATCGAGGTTTACAGGGTTTCGGGGAAAAGTTGCTAACCATAGCTTAAGGATTCCTTTAGAAAAATTTGTTTTACTAATCAATTTCTTAGCTTTTAATACAAAAAATAAACCTCATTTTGCGTCTCAACACCTTCAACATTTTCTTCATTTAAATGACCATTAGCGTCCATACAAATAAGACGCCGCAATCTGCCATATTGCGAATGATCTTGCTCTTTTACGGCATTTTTAATACGATTTATTAAATTCATTATTACATTCGGAGGCTTTTCACAAGTTATAAACGGATGCTTAAAAAAACTATTTAGAAAAAATTATTTAAATTTTTCTTACAGCTAAACAAGCATTTGTAGAAAGTCGTTGTTGAGGATCTTTTCGAAGGCACTGTTCAACAAAAGAATGAAAATCTTCCGACCAAGGAGAAAGTTCTGGGTCATCAATTGGCTGTAGAAAAGGAGGATCATTTTGAGCAATGTGATACATGGCAGAATAAGCCTTAAAAACACATATGAACAAAAAAATGTCTGACATTAAGTCTAGATTAAAAAAATAATGATTAGAATAGTCACTACCAACATTCATGTCCAAAAATGGAGGCTTTAATTCGGCTAAAATTTAATTTTTTAAATTAAGCATAACAATAATCTTCTCACCAAGTTCGATACAAGTTATACCAAAGGACCAAATATCAGCACGTTCATCGTAAATTCCAGAATCCTGAGCAAGTATAACCTCTGGCGCCATCCTAAAAACAAAATTAAAAATAGAATAAGAAACCACTCACCAATAAGGACTCCCAACAAAGGTTTGTGCTGGAGAAGTAAGAGATGCACTTCCCAAATCTGCAAGTTTAACTTGTCCACAATCAGTCATTAAAATATTTCCAGCTTTTACATCTCTATGTATACGTTTAATTCCATGTAGATAAGCAATCCCTTGCAATGTTTGTTGACATATGGCAGCAATTTCTACTTGCAAAAATGGCTTTTTGTAAACCTTGAAAATTATAGAAAAATGAAGTTCCATAAGATTTTGCAAAAAATCAAACTTTGAGAATATCTGCAGCAGAGCCTACACAGTACTCCATAACCAACCTTTAAAAAAATAATCTAAAAAATAAATTTAAAAAAAAACCAGCATGTCTGTTCCTTCAAAAAACAAGCCTTGAATCGAACTATTTGAGGATGTTGAATAGACCGAAGAAATCTAACTTCTCGTATAATATCATTCCATTTATCCAACGATTGCTTTCCAGAAAAATTCATTTTCTTTATCGCCACTGGCTCTTTAGTTTCTCTATCGAGCGCCTATAATAAATCCAGATAAGAATATGGGCACTTCTGCCGTTTAAGGGGCCGCTGTTCTCTTTATAGGACTACTTTTGGCACGAAATTTCAATTGAGCCATATTATATTTATGGAAAGTGTTAGTAAGGAGTAAAGGATTAATTTTGATTGAAAGAAAAGAGAAAATAAAATACATTGGTTTTATAACGGTCAGAGAACTGCAGCCCCTTAAACGGCAGGAGTGCCGAATTTTGATTTAAGTATTAAAAAATTTTAAAAAATACATAAAAGACAGCTCCAAATGCACCATGACCAATTTCACGTAAATCTTCATATCGACTTTCCGGATCCTTTGTAGAAAATAGTTCAGCCACTTCAGGATCTTTTAAATTTCCTGGCTTCAATTTTGCTGGAGCCATTTAATAAACTAAATCTCTAAAAAATTATTTTTAAATTTCCATTATTTTTAAAGAATTTAAAAATAATTTAAAAATAATGGGGAATAAACGAATCAATCTCAAACAACTCGTTAAACGATATATGTATAAATTGCACGCATGTGAGCACAAAAATAGAAAAGGCAACACCACTCTACCACCATCTGAGAGAACTAAAAAAAAAGCGGTTTTATCCATTATCCACATTTGCGCGCGCAAAACCAACGACCCATAAAGCGGGTCAAGTATTGAAGAGATTTTGGTTAGTTTTTATAAAGACGAGATCGAGGTCTTTTTTACAAAGTATCGAAAAAATTTCGAGGCTTGTTTTCAACAGCCCAGAGGCATGCAATTTAAGAAAAATGAAGTTTATGAAAAAAGATAAAATAGAAAAAGGCAACTATTATTGTCTCTAAAAACATTCCAATAAATTTATTTTAATTTTATTCATAAAAATAAAAGGGATTTTAAGTGTTTATGCCTATGTTTTCAATATTCTTCATTATTTTATCATTTTCATGACTTTTCCAACATATTCTTCTTCGAAAATTGTTGTTTAAAAGCTTCCATTTGATACAATATTGGAACATTTAATTGTTTATAAAGAATTCAAGGCCAACTTCAATCAAAATAAAATGAATAATGATCACCTAAATTTTTTTATTTGAAACAGAAAAATAATTAATAAGCTTACAGGCATTAAACAAGGCAGTAGAAGAGCATAATAACTTAAAAAAAACTATTTTAATTTTACGAGATTAAAATTCCTTACGTATCAGCACTATTAAAAAGCTCCAAAGTTGATTCATCTACCCAGTCATCTGGTACCATGAAGGGTATTTGTGGTGGAAAAGAATTTAACTTGCTCCTATAAAAATTGAAATTTAGAAGAAAATCATTAGCAACCCAGCGATCTTTAATTATTTACCTTTTAGTAATTCACCATTTTGTCGCTTTCGCTTTTGTCACAGTTTCCATTTTAGGGGGAATCATTGAGTCTCGCCGGTTGTGTCCCTGGCCATATTTTGGTCATAACTTTTCGATTCTTAATCGATTTAAATAATTAATATATCAATCGGAAGCTCTTGATGTAAGGAGCATTTTATATAACAGTATTGATTTGATCAGATCAATATAGAAAAAGTTACAGCCTAATAAAGATCAAAAATCACGATTGCGCGCACTTATCTAGATGTAACTTTTTGTAGCATGATCTTATCAAATCAATATAGTTGGCGAAAATAATCCTAATATTCAGGGATTTAAAATGAAAAAAGATTTATTCGAATTGGTTGAAAACCCAAAAAGTTATTGATCGAAATATGGCTCAGGTACTCAACCGGCGGGACTCAGTGATCCCCCAGCTAAAAAACTTTTCTAATTTTTCGGAACGTCCCACTTGTGTACCGGCCGTTTGTGTACCTGGCCATATTTTGGGCCATAACTTTTTTGATTCTTAACCGACTTCAATTATTATTATATCAATCGAAAGCCCTGGATGTGAGGATTATTTTCGCCAACAGGATTGATTTGATCAGATCATGTTATAAAAAGTTATATCTCGATAAATGCGCTCAATCGTGATTTTGATCTTTATCTGTCTGTAACTTTTTGTATGATTATCTGATCAAATCAATCCTGTTGGCGAAAATAATCTTCACATCCAGGGCTTTCAATTGATATATTATTTATTTAAATCAATTAAGAATTGAAAAAGTTATGGCCCAAAATATGGCCAGGTACACAAACGGCCGGTACACAATGATCCCCTACCCCTAATTTTTCGTTTATTTTTAAAAAATTTTGATTATTAAAATTTAATTTTTCCTTTATTAAATTTTAGCTAAAAAAATGTCTTCTGACCAGTCTCGACTTTTACTCCAAAAACAATTAAATGACCTTACAAAAAATCCTGTTGATGGTTTTAGTGCGGGTCTTGTCGATGAAAGCAATGTTTTTTTTTATTTTTTTCAATATTTTTTAAAATTTTTAGATATACAAATGGCAAGTGTTCATAATGGGACCGCCTAGCTCGCCATAGTAACTTTTCAAAACAATTTTAAGGTTATTTTTTTATTTTCAGTGAAGGCGGAAATTTTCGTGCAGAGCTTATCTTTCCAAAAGACTATCCATTATGTCCACCTACAATGCGGTTTATTTCAAGAATTCTTCATCCAAATAGTTTGCTTTAAATTTTATATTTATTTTAATTTTTATATTTATTTTAGTAGACCGTGAGGGGAATGTTTGCATTTCTATTTTGCATGAGCCCGGGGACGATAGATTTGGATATGAAAAGGCAAGTGAGCGTTGGTTGCCTGTACACACTGTTGAGACTATTTTAATTTCTGGTAATTTTTTGGTTGTGTCGTTTCCCTCCCCCGCCAAATTTCCTCAAGGAAATTTTATGAAATACGCAAGGAAGAAATTACTATATTAAAGGAAAATCGGTTAGGCGAGGGAAACGACATAAGTACCGTTTTTTGATATTTAATAAAAAAATTTTTTTAAGTTATTTCAATGCTTTCTGACCCAAATTTTGACAGTCCTGCCAACGTTGATGCAGCGGTATTTTTTGTTCAAAAATTATTTTTAAACTATATATTTTAGAAACTCTATCGAGAAAATCCTGCAGAATATAAGCGACAGGTTTTTAATTATTTAAATTTTGAAAAAAAAATTTTTTTTAAAGGTTGCTAGATGTGTTCGAGGGACCGAAGAATTATAACAGCCCACAAACATTTCAAAATAATTGATAACTCAAAAATATGTTTGTTTGTCTTTTTATGCGGTATAAAAGTTATTTTTAATTTATTTTTGAATAATTAGGGTAAGCAACTCCCTCCAAAATCAAAACACTAGAGTACGTTTTTTGTAACGACAAATATATTTTATCAAAGGAAAGCTTCATTCCCCCTTTTATATTTTATTTCCCCTTTATTAAATCTAATATTTAAAAATTAGACTAATCTTTAAAAAATAAAAAACAGTTGTTGTCATCTCCCTTCAAAATTAAATTAATATATATTTTTTAATTTGACACAACTGTCGTCTCTTTATTTAATACAAACTTTCAATTGTTTATTTTTATGTGGCTAACCTGATACTTTCCCCCATACCAAAAACTATGGGGACATATCACAATTCTATTAAATAAAAGTAACATTTGATCCATCAAAAAATTTTTTGTTGGGTTTTTGTGTGATTATCGAGAGCAAATCAAAAATCTTTTCGGACATTAAAATGGCTAATACAGATAATACAACTTTAATTACTAATTTGTGTACTACAAAGTTTGCAATATTAAAATGGCTTCAAATGCTTTGTTACATTATTATTGTATTTTTCCTTATTGATGGACATAGACAATGGGGAATATACACATTTGTTTGTATTTTAATTAGAGCCCGAGATTTGTATCGTATCTTTTTCTCTAAATTTTAAAGATGTTTATCTGTGCGATCATTTTTGGCATTTTATGTTTGGCTACATTACTCATAAATTATTTTCTCTCTCAACCTCGTGCTACTCATCAAAAGATTGTATAAAAATTAAACAATAACGGGATCAATCCATAGGACAAATCCGAATATTTGGGTGATTAAGGGACATAAAACGGAAATTCTCTTGTGCAACTGTTCAGATAAGACAAAAGGGGGGCAAGCTAACGTATTCTTGATCCATAGTCACCTTTATCTACCCATTGGATTTGTCCTCCCGGGTTTTGACCTCCTAGGGTGGACCCATTAATAAAACCTATTATTATTTTAAGGAAATTACCTTCAATGTTATTGCATTAGTAAGATTTTTTCATAACTTTAAACAATTTTAAATACAAAAAAAAGATTTTTTGCCTCATATTTTTTGGCATTCTGGCGGTTGATTATGCAAAAATGAATTCTGGCAATTATAATTTCCACAAATATTTGCCTCCGCCTAATATTGGAAAGTTTGTTATTTTTCTACAATTCTTAATATGGACAAGAGGACGGTCGGAATTCAGATTTCTGACGGTTTTTTTATTTTCGAGTTCCGACTTTAGATCGATTTCCTACCGCCCCATGATTTGAACCCACAAATGAGATTTTTGACTAAAATCTCGCCAATAAAATTCTCAGAACCCTAGATTCGAAAAACTCGAACCCCAATTTAGATTAACATTTTTATTTTTAGAGAGGGTTGGCGAAACAGAATTCTTGTTGTTCTGGTTTGTCTTTTGAATTTACCCAACTGTTGATTAACTTAATAGTAGTTAACCCCCCCTCCAAGTCGTTGGGGCAGCGGGGTCCAACCATTTAGCCCCTCCCACATTTTTAAATGGTCATTCAACAACTACGTCGTCAGAGTCCAAAGGTTTAAGGATTTCCCTTTAAGGGATAATTTGATCAAACCGGTTTGGTGCGAACTTTAAAAAAACACCTTACCATACCATTCCCCACATTTTTCACCAAATTTTATTCTAAAAATTTTCCCAAAGTTTCTAGGGTTTAATAAGTAGTTTTCAAACGGTTCAATCAAGATTTCCCATATTTTTTCTTTTTAAAACTGTTTCTTAAACTTTTTTTAAGTTTCTTTTCTTACAATATCTTATTTTATTATTTTTACCCTTTATACTTAAAAAAATACAATAATTATTAAAAAGTAGGCGGTTGAAATAGAAATAGTAAAAATCAGTCATGCAATAATTATGTTGCAAAATTATTGTTGAAAAGTGAAAATTGGTTAGAAATAGGTCATGCAAGAGAAAAACTGTAAAAATTTGTAAATTATTGTTGAAAAGTTAAAAATGGGTAAATTTTTAAAAAGTAGACGTTGAAGATAGAAATAACTTTAAAAAATATAAATAGGTAAAAAATAGCTCATGCAAAAATTGATCAAAAAATCATTAAAAAGTAGGCGTAGAAAAGTGAAAATAGACTATAATTATAAAAACAAAATATTACTGTAATAGGAAAAATAAATAAATGAAAATAAATAAAGTTTTATAATTACCCCTCTCTATTAATTACCCACTAATAATTTAAAAAATTAAGAGTTTAAAAAAATAAATTCTACAAACAACATCGTCGCATCGTTCACAACTTGCTAATTATATACCTAAAAATTTTTCTTTACCAGATATTATGCTAATTTTCTTTCTCGAAATATTATTTAAAATTTAAAACATTTCCTATCTAGTTAAATTATGTTAAATTTATTTTTAAAACTCCTCTTCTTGACTGGAAATAAAAGAAAAAGATTGTTTTATATAGGGATTTCTCTTCTTTTGACAACATCCTAAGGAATAAAAACAAAGGTATGTATTATTACGAAACTAAACATTATTAAGAAACTTGCTCGCTCTTTCTTTATTCTCTTTAAATTCTTTTGCTTTTTTATGCAAAAATTCTTTTAGGCTTTTTCCCGCGACCGCGACTGGAAAATAATGAAAAGGAATTTCAGTGAAATTCCTATTTTACAACACATCAATTATTTTATGGAATATTTTCTTAAAAAAGGATTTCACATTTCTTTCTTCATTCTTTAAAATTCTAAGAAATTTAATACTTTTGAATTAGTCTCTAATTTTGAATTTATTTTATTATTAATGTCTCCTCCACCTTCGAAGAAAGCACGACATTTCTTCATTGATAATCTATTACAGAAAGGTGATGGTGATTATGTAAAACATTTGGGTGAAGAAACTAAAATCACCCGGAAATTTAACCTTACCAAACTGTCTACTAAATTCTTAATTTCGAATATCCCACCCGATCCTGAGGGTTTATTAAAAGGAATTTTCCAAGAATGCATCGACAAAACATTGGAGACGAGTCATGGTCATCAGCTTGATCCAGATCAACTTGGCTGTACAGTGAGCAGTCAATTGTTAGAATCAGATATTTGGATTCCAATACGTGAAATTACTCCCAACACGGTGGATTCAATTCTTAACCAATTTCTAAAAGTGGCCCAATCTAAAAAACAGGATCAGGGAATGTTATGGGGTGAACCATTTACCGTTTCTGTTACAGCTATTGACAAAAAACATCTGCCTACAACACGTTCTATTAATGGTAGTGGCAAAAATCCATCACCAATTCGACATAAAGTTAAAGACCACAACCTCATTAAAATTATTAATTCAGACAACTACTGCTTATTTCGATCATTGTCTGCCACCTTTATATTTTCAACATGCTCATGGCCGAAATGGAAGTTCTATGACTATATGCATAGCAGATTAGGAATGAAGAAACGTTTGGAACATGATACAACATTCTTGATGGAAAATGTAGGAGCTCCTCTTGATTTAACAACATATGATGCAAATGAATGGGTACCCAAGGTGGTTGATTATTGGAATTCAAGGAATGATGGCCTGTTTAAAGTTTTTATTTTTGGAGAATTGGGTGAGAAGCCTATTTTTAAATATGGGGATGAAAATCACACTACTCCAATTCTTCTTTATTACAACAATAATCATTTTGATGGAGTTAGAAAAGCAAGCGATTTATTTGGTAAACCTTATTGCCTATCATGTGAGATAATTTACAACCGCCCAAAAGATCATTCTATCACCTGCACATCAAAATGTCAAAATTGCTCCAGGATCGGACCCAATTACCCATGCCAGCCTTTAGATAACTACTTCAAACATTGCTCTGGTTGTTCTAAGAAATTTAATAATGAAGAGTGCTACACCCATCATCTCAAATCTAAATTTTGCCACAACTCTAAGAAATGTGAGAAATGTGGAGTGATATGGTATGTGAAGGACAACAACAAGAATGGGCGCAGTGGACATGTTTGTTCAGAACGTTACTGCACCACCTGCTTTAGCTTCCATGACCCAAAAAGAGGTTGTTACATTAAATCTCTAACTCAAAGGAAGCCAAAACCCTACCGAGTCATCGCTTTTGACTTTGAAACCATGCAACACAGGCAAGGCGAAAAAGGGAAATTACATGAAGTGAATTTTATATCTGCAAAAATCAACTGCCCCGAGTGTATTAGTAACGGAAACAACGATTGTACTATTTGCGGAGAAGAACGAACTATAACCTTCTCCCACCAACCATTTTCCAACACTCAAGTCGATCAACAAAATGTTACTAATGATCCTCTGACTGATTTTGTAACCTGGATCACTAATTTTTCTACTGATACAATAGCCTTCTCTCATTTTGGAGGAAGGTTTGATATGGTCCTAGTCTTCAAGGCATTGTATCTCAAAGGCCTAATCCCAGAAATGATAAAGAAAGGTAACAAAATGTATGAGATGAAGGTGAAGAACAATAAAAAATGCTGGGTCATCTTCAGAGACACATACAATCTAATGCCAATGCCTCTGGCATCTCTTGTACCAGCCTTTGCTCTTAAAACGGAAGACAAACCTTTCTTCCCTCACCTGGCCAACAACCCAAAGAATTATGGGAAAGAAATCTTTCCGACAAAAGAAGATTACCTTGCTAATGGGATGATGCCTGAAAAGAGGGCTCAGTTCGATAAATGGTTTGACCAACATAAAAATGAGCCCTTCAACTTAAATGAACAACTAGCAGCATATTGTATCAACGATGTGGAGATCCTCATGGCTGCACTCATTGCCTTCAGAACGGAATTTTTGGAAGTCTCCAATGGCTTGGATGTTCTTCGTGAAGCTATGACAATTGCTTCTGCCTGCATGAAGCACTTCCGCATGAATCACCTCAAAGCCAACCATTTAGGAATTGTTCCTGAAAAAGGTTACGACAACGTCGACAACCAAAGTAAAATTGCTCTCAAGTTTCTGAAATGGTATGGCGAGAAGAATAACGTTACAATTAGGACAGCACACTCAAAGAATGGGGAGAAGAAAATTGGAAATTATAAATTGGATGGATGGGTTGAGGAAAAGAAATTGGCTATTGAAGTCAATGGTTGCTGCTGGCATGGATGTATCAAATGCTATCCTGACGACGATCTTAAGCTTCCAACAGGTCTTACAGCTGGAAAACAGCGGGAGAAGGACCAAAAACGTCTAAAATTTATTAGGAATTTGGGGGTCAAAGTGGCAGTATATTGGGAGTGTCAAATCATTGATATGGTAGCAAAAGATTATGAAATGAGGAAGATGTTTAAAAAATATCTGGATGATGGACCAATAAATATTAGAGAGGCCTTCTATGGGGGAAGAACTGGTCCCTTGAAGTTATACCACAAGGCTGAGGATGGACAAAAAATTTCTTACTACGATGTCACCTCCCTTTACCCATTTATCAACGTCTCAACTCGATATCCTGTTGGGCATCCAGAAGTCCACGTCATCAATATGGATGTCAATTGGACCAAACCTGAAGACAACACTTACAACACTGCTCTTTTAAAATTATTCGTCATACCACCGAGAAGTATTGACGTTCCTGTTTTACCAATGAAAATTGGGGAAGACGACGATGAACGATTACTATTTCCCCTGTGTTCTACTTGTGCAAAAGAGTACCCTAAAGGTGATGTCAACGAAAACTACAGCTGCCCCCACACTAATAAACAGCGAGGGTGGGTCAGCACATGTACGTCTATTGAGATAAACGAAGCCCTCAAGGAGGGGTATGTGGTGACCAAACTATTTAGAGTATTGGAATTTAAAGACTACGACGACAAACTGTTCAGACCCTACATTAGTGAATTTATGACCCAAAAAATTCACTCTTCTGGTTTTGACAACACCATCAAGGGTGACATAGAAAAGGAAGATAAGTTTATGAAAGAGTGCCTGGAAATGTTTGGGATTAACATCGAGAGGGAGAAGATGGTGGTCAATAAGGGTAAACGGACACAAGCGAAATTGTGTCTAAACAATTTGTGGGGGCGATTTTCACTTCGTAACTTTGGACTCTCCCAGTGCAAAATTACTGACGACCCAAGTGAATACGTAAAAATGAGTAACGACCCAGCAATAACAGTTAATCATTGTCATGAATTGACTGAAGATGGGACTGTGCTTATCGACTACATTAAGAAAAAAGATTGGGTGGAGGAGCATGACTCATCAAACGTCATAATCTCGCTCTGGACCACATCAGCAGCGAGAATTCACCTTCTACACGCAATGCAGAAAGTTGTAAGGACTCCGGGGTGTGAGTTACTATACACCGACACCGATTCTTTAATCTTCATCCACCCAGACAACAATTGTCCACTTGAATTAGGGCCTCATCTGGGTCAGTTTACTGATGAGTACCC